CAATGACGAGCGCCCTCACAAGCGCAAGCGTGACGAGAATGCGCCGCCATCTGGTACCACCGGCTCCTCCTCCGCCCCTGCCTCCTCATCGGGGAACGGGAAGCGTTGCCCGAAGCTCACCGATGACGAACGCGCACTGCTCACTGCCAACCACGGCTGCAGCCGCTGCCGTCTGCCCTTTGTCGACCACGCCGACGCACAGGATAAGACGTGCCCGTGGCCGAACGCGACGAACTACAAGCCGGTGTCGCAAGCGAGCATCGACGCTGCGGCCGCCGCCCTCACTGCTGATCAACGCAACAAGTTCGGTATCAAGGCCAAGCCTGCTCCGGTTGCCGCCGTCGTCGCCGCTGCCGGTTTTGCACCTATCGAGGACCCCAACGACAGTAGTGTCGACTCGCTGGATGTGAGTGAACCACATTTGATCTGGGACTTCCGTATGGAAGGTCCTATGTCTAATATTCCCATACGTGTCCGCGGGCTGATTGACTGCGGCTCAGGGCTAGTGTTGATGCACCAGAACATCGCAGACAAACTCCAGCTCCGCCGCCATCGCCTACACAAGCCCATGCCCGTATCGGCTGCATTCACGAACAACGATGACCCACCACCATTAACAGAATGGGTAAAATTCAAAGCCTTGTCAGACGACCTTTCTTATGAGACCAAAACTGTACGCGCACTCATCGCGCCCGCTCTTTGCACCGACGTTATCCTCGGACTTCCCTTCTTGTCCCGTAATTCCATTGTCATTGATAACAACGAACGCACTGTAATTGATAAACGTATGAATTATAATCTTCTTGACCCTGTTATTGCATCTCCCCCACCGCCGCTGAAGCTAAAGCTGCGCGAGCGCCTGCGAAAAACGAAAGCTGACCACAAGTTGTTGGCTAAAGAATTGAAGACTGTATGCGCGACGCGTCTGCAAGCACTCACCGACGCAAAGCTGTTCGAAACTGTACGTGAGGTCGATGTCGTCGCCGCTATCCGCGAGCGCATCGAAGTCTTGGCAGAGTCGGAACGACGTCAAATAATGGGTGACGACTTGAAAACAAGATACCGACCAATCTTTGAGCCCATCCCACACGTCAAAGACCTGCCTACGGACGTACTTTGTGAAATAAAAATAAAAGATGCTTATAAAACACTTTCAAAGCGAACGTACCAAAGTCCTCGAAAATACAAGGACGCATGGCACGAGCTGATCCAGAGACACCTGGACACTGGGCGTATTCGGCCTTCCAATTCCCCCTTCGCGTCGCCGGCCTTCTTGATTCCTAAGGCGGACAAGACAGCCCTCCCACGTTGGGTTAATGACTTCCGCGATATCAATGCGAACACTGTCCACGACGTCTTCCCCTTACCCCGTGTGGATGATATACTCGCGGACTGCGCCAAGGGCAAAATCTGGACAACGATAGATTTCACAGACAGCTTTTTCCAAACTAGACTGCACCCCGAGTCAGTTCCATACACCGCCGTCAGTACTCCACTAGGACTATATGAATGGTTGGTGATGCCACAAGGGCTGCGCAATGCACCCTCAGTACAACAACGCCGTGTCACGGCCGCTCTGCGCGAACACATTGGCAAAATTTGCCATGTGTATCTCGACGACATAGTGATATGGTCGCAAAACACCGAAGAACACGCATCGCACATACACATTATTTTTGAGGCACTTAAGAAGAACTCGCTCTACTGCAATGAAAAGAAGACTAAGCTATTCTGCGACGAAATCGTCTTCCTGGGTCATCGCATCTCACAGCGGGGCATAGAACCTGACCAGAGCAAAGTTGAACGCATTATTAACTGGCCAAGGCCCAAATCGTCTACAAACGTACGTGCCTTCCTTGGCCTGGTGCGCTATGTGGCACAATTCCTCCCCAATCTGGCAGACCACACTGAGGTCCTTCACCGTCTTACAACGAAGGCCGCAGACAAAATGTTCCCGGAATGGAACAGCGAGCACCAATTTGCCTTTGATAAAATAAAGGAAATTGTGACTAGCGCGGACTGCCTGACTACAATAGACCACGAAAACATGGGGACTAAGAAAATTTTCGTCACCGCCGATGCGAGCGATAAACGGTCTGGAGCTGTACTCTCCTTTGGAGAAACCTGGGAGACGGCGCGCCCCGTGGCGTTCGACTCGAGGACATTCAAGGGAGCAGAATTGAACTACCCCATACACGAAAAAGAATTACTGGCCATAATACGTGCATTGCAGCTGTGGCGCGCGGACCTGGTCGGGAGCACGGTACACGTCTACACAGACCACCGAACCCTTGAAAATTTCCATTCACAACGCGACTTGTCACGTCGACAAGCGCGATGGATGGAATTTATGTCCCAATTCGACACCAAGATCATATATGTGAAAGGCGAAGCGAATACTGTCGCAGACGCCCTCTCGAGAACGGATTTTCATGACAGCCCTGAAGCTGACATACACGCGTCCCCTCCTTGTGATGACGACTGTGAACCTATGGCATTCCTAACTTGCAAAACAGATGATACACCCTTGATGGCCGCTCATTGCCTTGCAGTGACACGGATCAGGGACCCAGCACCCTCTGCGATCTGCACAATAATGTCAGTCGCAGTTGACGCCGGCCTACTTGATAGCATTCGGTCTGGATATGTGGGCGACCCTTGGTGTGCAAAATTCCCGTCTGTCACCGACAGCATGCCTGGCCTAATCAACAAAAACGGCTTATGGTATATCGGGACGAGACTATTAATCCCCCGTGTGGGTCACATACGTGAACACCTGTTCCGTCTGGCACACGACTCACTGGGGCATTTTGGATTCGAAAAATCATATGGATCCCTGCGGGAGGCCTACTACTGGCCTAACATGCGACGGGACCTTGAGTCAGCCTACATCCCAGCGTGCGCAGACTGCCAACGGCATAAGTCTCGTACAACCAAAACTTCGGGCCCACTGCACCCCCTCCCGGTTCCGGACAACCGATTTGACTCGGTGGGAATTGACTTCGTTGGCCCTCTACCAGAGGAGGGCGGCTTTAACTGCATTGCCACGTTCACAGACCGCCTCGGTACGGATGTTCAACTTATACCAACAAGAACGAATATTACAGCCGAAGACTTCGCACTGCTCTTCTTTGACAAGTGGTACTGCGAAAACGGCCTACCACTAGAAATAATATCAGACCGGGACAAACTTTTCATCTCTAAATTTTGGAAAGCCTTGCACAAATTGACGGGGGTCAAACTGAAACTCTCGACGGCCTTCCACCCAGAAACAGACGGTTGCAGTGAGAAGACGAACAAAACAATGAATCAGTGCCTACGATTCCATGTCGCACGGAACCAGAAAGGTTGGGTCCGCGCCCTGCCTCGCGTTCGCTTTCATATTATGAACACTGTCAACAAATCGACAGGTTACTCACCTTTTCAACTAAAGACTGGCCGTTCACCACGCCTCATCCCCCCACTTGTCACACCCGACGATGGAGTTGAGGCCGAGGACGTCGCGGCGGCAGATGTCATCAACCAGCTCAACGCGGATACGCTTGAAGCTAGAGACAACTTACTAGCAGCCAAATTGGTCCAAGCCGCAAATGCGAACAAGGACCGGAAACCGGACCCACCTTATGAGGTCGGCCAACGAGTTAAACTAACAACAGAACACCGGCGCAGCATGTATCTTCGAACCAAAGAAGGCAGATGCGCCAAATTTATGCCCCGATTCGATGGACCGTACACCATAACTGCAGTCCACAAGGAATGCTCAACAGTTACCCTAGACATGGCAACGCAACCGGACATATTCCCTGTATTCCACACTTCCGAAATTGAGCCTTACCTCGAGAATGATCCGATCCTATTCCCGGAACGAGAACTGGCGCGCCCAGGCCCTGTGGTCACAGCCGATGGGGTCGAAGAGTTTGTCATCGACGAGATCATTGACGAACGCAAGCGCGGCCGCGGTAAACAATACCTCGTGAAATGGTCAGGACATGGAGACGAGGACCTGCGTTGGCTGCCAGGACGTGAACTCGCTGAATGCGAAGCACTGGACCGGTGGCTAGCTCAAATTGACTCGAACAATACTGATTCTACCATCTAATGGTTACTACATATTTGCTTCCACTGCTCGCCCAACCCCCCCCCCAAAAAAAACCCTTCTCTTGCTCCGAGTATGCTCGATTTTTCACGGAGGGGAGGGGTGTAATCATGCTGATTACTCATAGCTGAAATGGTACGATTTCTATGGTTCGATTATTTACATAGCCAAACACGGACACAGTAGCTTACCTCTTTGGCTCTTACCACCTTATTCTGCCTGTACGCTAGCTAGCACCTCTTCAACGTCGACTCCCGGAAACGGGTCTATATTCTCTTGTGTGATCTCTTTTCCTTTTCTTCTTTCTGGTATCTCGCTCGGTGAGCCTGATTCCAACATCTAGCCAAGCAGACGAGCTCGACAGCAGTTTTGTGAAGTAATTTTGCGACAGGAGCATTGGGTTGAATCCTAGACTTCTGGAGCGCTTTGTAGATCATGTCCAGGGCGACTGCAATGAAGACCATGTCATCCTTGAGTATAATTCCAGCTTGCGCTAGGTCGTGTGCATCCTGAGGAAGAAATCAAGATGGAACATCACAGCAAGACAATTCACTGACAATGTTATTCTCCCCCGGGCATGAATCTCGTCTACTTTGAGAGAAACGACCGAGTCCATGGTGGTGGCGATGGTCAACTGTCGGTGATCCGTCACGCAATTCATATAGGTGACATTAACACACCCTTCAACGTTTCAAGTTTCAACTCAGAACGGATTTCTGCCGTGCGGTTAACCATCGAGGACACTGGCTGTGGTTTGGTGTAGCCTGATGTAGAGTTTCCGTTATAATCAATTCAAACATGCAGCAGATGGATTCCAGTTCTTTATTCGTGCCCAAACAAAAATATGACAACCTCCGCTAGTCAACGCCGTCCAAAATGCTTTCCATAGACGCCTGGAATAAAACTGCCCCCGTGAGGCTCGAACTCACGATCTCACGATTTGATCACGTGACCCTAAATAGATCACGGGATTTAACAGTCGTGCGCCTTAACCAGCTGGGCCAGGGGGCATTGAAGACATGGCCACATCGAGAAGCTAAGTGAGCTAACTGCTCATCTGCCAGCAACACCTAGCAAATTTACTCAAGGCTGGCTGTGGGAAAGTATGGCGTTGCACTTTAGATGTCGTAGTAGTTCCGAGGACTTGTTTCACTTGTAAGACGTTGCTCTATTTTTTGGGATATTCACGGACCATAGGAGCGGAACTTCCTTTTTGGGGCTGATATTTCTGATCTTCTGATAGCCAAGTGGTGGCAGTGCCAACACGTCCTCACAATCTCAACTGTTCCAGCAGCCTTCCTGCTCATTCGAGAATTTCGATACTGTTAAACGAGCCCCAGACTAGCATGCCCTACAACGATTCGGAACAGATCGTTGTTGGGAAACTTTGAGCATCGGAGTCCTGCAATGAGACTCCAGCAAAATTTCTGCGATACTTACGCGCTGCCTCATGCCGCTTCTCACTTGACTTGATGCCTACCCAGTGGATTGGTGTTTGCAGCCCGGCTACGACGCGGTCCCAATGCGATTCTTCGTCACCTGTAGGATCTCACGAATTCAAAAAAATGAGCGGGCTTACTTCGCGAACCTTGGTCCTCTCAACTACCCACTACCACAGTATTCCCGTACAATCGCTGGACTTGGCTCTGGTTGATCACTGGATCCCATATTCCAAGGACGGTTCGTGACCGTGACCGTTGCCTCCTATACAACTTGGGTCAGTACACTTTCTAGTCCATAATCGGGATGCGCATGTTCATTCGCCGGTCTATAGAGAGTGCGAGGCGGACTCCGAGCGTCTTTCATCCAGCCCCACTCCTGGGCACATCAGGCCCTGGGGGACGACGATTCAGCATGACCTCCGTCGAGTCCTCGTATCAAGTCCCCAAGCTCGAGCAGGACCTTTACTACTTCGGTCTCCGCGGCAACAGACACCCTGGTCCCAAGCTCGTCTTCAGGACGTCTACGGATATCTTTACGCCTCCTATTGGGCCAGAGCATGACCCTCGCCTTATACAGCTTCTACCTTGCTACGAACACAAAACACTGGGCCAGAACAACCTTTGGGCAACTATTCGTGAAGGGGTTCGTGACCTTCCCGAAGCGTAGCGTTCTGGGGACTGATATTCGCTCCAAGGTTGTAAAACTTCTCGACAATCGAAACATACAGCAGACCTCTGTCGACCTCGTTCGCTTCAGGTGGGAAGAACAGAACTCGGACGGCGACAGCGAGACAGTGACCAGTCGCGTCACAATCTGGGTCGGAATGCTGCCAGACAGTACCACCGCTGATGCCGCGTTCGAGTCCTCTCAGGACATCCTCACATTACTCGAGCAATACCACATTCACGACATCGACGTCGCGTATCGTGAATCAATAGCCCAGCCTTTCACCGGTCCCGAACTGTTGGCCCGCGTCAACGATCTCCATCCCCTCAAGGACGTAGTGGATTGGGTCACCACCGCACTTAGCCTGCCCATCGCCGGCTTCAAGACACTGCACATGCAAGGGACACTAGGATTCTATTTCCGAGTCGGCGATGATCTTTACGGCGTTACTGCACGCCATGTGCTGTTCCCTGCTGACCATGGCAATAGCCCTTACACCTACGTCGGTACGTTTGTTTCCTCGAGAAGATGAGTGCAATTCTGACTACACCTACCTAGCTGGGCTCAAGAAGGAAGTCGTCCTCATGGGCAACAAAGCTTTCGACCACTTTCTGGTATCCATTCAGGCCAAAATCGGCAACCAGAACAACACCGTCACCGTCTTGGAGAAGCGCGCTGCGTCGTACAGGAAGAAGGTCGATGCCGGTAACGAGCAAGCGGCGACAGGCCTGGTGGCTACGGAAGACGACATCAAGAACAGAAAAAATGCGATCGAGGCCCTCAAGGCGTTCTTCGTCGCCATGAAGAAGGATTGGTCCAAGGTGAACGACCGCGTTATTGGACATGTTGTCTGGGCACCTCCGATCACTGGCCTTAATCCCCCTCACGGCTACACCCAGGATGTCTGTGTTATCAAACTCGACAAGAAGAAATTCTGGTCAAACTTCATGGGGAACGTCATTGATTTAGGTGTGTGCTGACCCTGTCTAATGAAAGGTGTCTGATCTGACTGTTCGTATTCCAGGCACTGAAATCGACTCCGGCAAGTTTATGAGCTTGATGTCTCCTCGGGACGACGCGCAATCCGAATTCGACTACCCCGAGGATCGTCTTTTCAAGCTCCGAGACATTCTCACCGCCGCTCACATCAGCAAACCCAAAAGCCAGGACTCGAAGGGCGACCCTGTGCGATTCGTGATCAAACGCGGTTACACCACGTTCACCACGATTGGTCGTCTTGCTGGGTTCGACTCTCATCAGCGCCGCTACAGCCTCTTCGGCACCTTCGATTCCGTTGAAGCCGCGGTTTACCCCTACGACAGCCACTCCGGTCCGTTCTCTAGATGCGGGGACTCTGGGGCTCTTATAGCCGGTCCCGAAGCCGAGTTCGCTGTCCTCCTCACTGGTGGTACTGGTGCGACCGACTCGCCTGATATCAGCTACGGCACCCCGATGTACTGGCTCTGGGAAGACGTCATCAAGCCCCAGTTCCCCGATGCCAACCTCTACTTCGACCTCCCCCAGAACTAGTGCGTCTCTTCCATCTGCCTCAGACCCTCGTATATATAACTGACAACGTTAATGTAAAGGCCTTTGGCCCTTTGCGACACGTTCTCGCATCGTTTTGTTCCCTACGACTTCTCCCAGCTCTCCTCGTCTTCTGCAACTTGTCTTCCCGTTCTGTCCGGCTAATAGCTTTCGTTGACGATTTGGGCTGCGGGCGTTGCCAGGATGAATTACAGGTGCAGAAAGCGACTGAGTTGCTTGGTCGAAATTTGCACGTTTCACAAGTTACAAGACGTTGTACATTTTCTTCAATACCATAAACTGCACGCGTTTGCAATAACCTCATTTATGATAGTTATCGAGCGGCGCCTAGCGTTCAAGCATGAGAAAGGGATTCGAATGACAAGAGAGTTCACCAACCTCGTGCTCAATCACCTTCCATATCTCGTCGATCTTGGCCTTCGCTGCGTCGCCGACAGAGCCGCGCTTGAGCCACGCCAGCGTCTCCGAGATCTGGGAGTGCTTGCTCGCACCAAAGATAATGGCGTCGCCGTGCTTGACATCGACGGCCGAGTCAAAGGCCACCCAACGGTACGCCAGCTCCGCTCTGCTACACCCCGCCTCCTTGGCCGCCTCCTCCCACAGAACAAGCGCTTTGTAATACGAAGGCTTGTTGTACAGCCCGGCGTACAAATCATACAAACGGTTCCCTTTGGCAAAGCGCCCGGCATCCTGGCTGCCCTCGCGCAGCTGCTCCACGGTTTTGGTGAGGAGGCCGCCGGCGATGGGGCTGTAGACGTAGAACGCGATGTTCAGTTTGCGGAGTGTAGGGATGAGCTCGGTCTCCTGCTTGCGAGCTACCGCGCTGTAGTTCCCCTGGTAGACCGTGGGTAACGGGTACCCCTTCTCCTTGCAGATGTCGTAGACGCGCTGCACCTCGGCAGCCGTGAAGTTGCTCAGGCCGAAGCGCTTGAAGTGGCCCGCGGTGTATGCTTCGTTGATGCCCTTGAGCTGGTCCTCCAGCTCAACCGACGGATCCGGCGCGTGGATGTAGTACACGTCGACCTGGATCAGTTCAAGCCCAGATTAGAGTCGACCTGTGAGGTCTGAGCTTCGTGCGCTTACGCTCTTGATACCCAGGCGCTCGACTGACTCCTTGGCGAACTGGGGTATGGTCACACTGGTGCTGCTGCCGGGAATGAAACCGCCAGGCGCCTTGCTGTCGATAACGAACCGCTTTCCGGCGCTTGTCTTGCCTAGCCACTCCTCCGAGTTGCCGTAGAGGCGCGCGGTGTCGATGGTGTCGCAGCCGCCTTCCTCGAGCAGCTTATACACCTGCTCGATGCTCTCTTCGTCAATGAAGGACTTGCCAGGGCCGATGGGGCCCCCGCCAAAGACGGTCTTGATCGATTGGGTAGCCATTGTGTGCGAGGGTTACTAGGAAAATAAGCGCGTAGGTGAGGGCTCGAGACGAAGGCTGATGACAAAAGGCGACATGTCGCAATCGCGATAACGTGACGTCATGCAGTTCAATTAAAGTACACTCTGCGAACCGTATCGTACCCGTATTTTTTGGCCTGCAAGGGTTCAACAATCGTTCAGTGGATGTGGGCTACTTGGGGGTCAACTTGTCGAGGTGATTGCCTTTAATCATGCTGGAGTCCTGGAAAAATCACCCGTTGATATTGGATTTCCCGGCGCACCCGCATGCGCAACAATGGGGTCTCTCACCAGCATAGTCTCCCACCCCCAACTCAAAGCCCATGCCAAGCTTGCGAGCCCCCCTCTCCAGATAACTGCCTGCGGCCGGGCCTTGAGTAGATCATTCGCCACAGCCTTGGCATAATCTTTGGGCTCAATAAACCTGGCCTGCCCCAAGAATCCCCTCGACTCGATCCACTGCTTCAGCGGCGTATACAGGCTTCCCTCTGGTAGCACCGTCTTGTTAGTCTCGAACAGCTCGGTCCGCACACTCCCGGTCTTCAGCGCGATGACACGGACGCCGAACGACGCCAGCTCCTTGCGCAGTGTGCGGCCCAGGGCCTCCACGGCGGCTTTGCTAGCGTTGTACGCAGCCAAAAACGGTGGGCAGAAGACCTCGTTGACACTGCACAGGTTGGCGACGATACCGCGCGTGGCCATCAGTTGCGGGAGAAACGCCTGCGTCACGGCCCACACACCCAGCACGTTGACCTCGAAGGTCACCCGCGCCGCGTCCACAGACATGTCAGTGAATGGCGCGATGTGCAGCACGCCCGCGTTGTTGATCAGAATGTCCAGGCGTCCGCCCGTGGCAGCCTCGACCTTGGACACGGCGCTGGCGATGGAGGCTGCCGAGGTCACGTCCATGGTCAACGTGCGGCATCCAAGCGCGACCAGCTCCGGGTCAACATTGA